ATTGGAATTATGTTACCCATATAGTGTCATACCCAATGGTAGGTGAAGGATTTAGAACCTCAGAACCGCTGCATCAAATCAGACACAAGGGCTATATGCTACCTCCTTGTAAGATGATCACATTAACTAGTGGGACTGCACATATAGACTGCCATGTAGCCAACATCGCATAACCAAAAATATTGGCTGAGTGCCAAGTACAATTTATTTATGCACCTAACACGTAACCAGGTAGATATACAATTGTTTGATGTGCTGTCATGGTAAAAAATGTCTACACTGAAACACAACTTTGCCTAAATATTTTGCATGTAACTCCATTTCCAAATAGTACATAGTTAGATTGCTTCAATGTTATTTCTATTTAAGAGAGTTAATTTATAAAGCCCCATGAAATTATAAATATACATAAGCCAAAATAAATGGTGTGAAGGAAAAAGCTAGCGCATTTTCTGTGCAGCCAGGTGGCACGTGTCTCTGATGAACCTCTGGCCCCTGTCCACTCTTCTCACACATCTATTCATCTCCATCACTTCGTGCTTTCCTCACCCCCTCGGGAGTGTTTCCATGAAAACCTAGTTACTTTCCTAGTCTGCCCTGTCCTCGTCCAAGAAAGCCTCACCAGGGTCCTATGCAGATGGCTCAAGTGCAATTTATCGTGATCAACAAATAGTTGCAGATTTTATAGACGATTTGTGAAAGATGGTCACTCACAGTATGTGTGCTTTGCTGAAACATGACGGGGTCTTTTACAGCAAAGTGTATGCACAGGCTTTCCTGACCCATGCAATACTATTATTTTTTACTTTTATATCATTTAAGCATCTCTGTAAGTATCCCTTCCCTCTTGTTTTCATCCATATAATTAAAGTGATATAAATCACTTAGTACAACCTGGCATCTAATTTTCTCTTTTCGTGTTGCTTTACAACCACTTCCCTATTGCAGTACAATATTTAAATAGGGACATGTGATAGTTCATAAAATTTGTTACGTCACTTCTCATTGGCTATGTCACTCATAACTGGAAGCTGCAAGTTTTTTTAAAAAAATTTTTTTGTGTACTCTAAAGATGAGATGACGAATCAGAAGTTCCATCTAGCAGTCCGTCCCTCTCATTCCCATGTATCTTTCTGCTCCAGCAACGTTCTGAGACTGACTTGAGACGCTTCCCTCCAACTTACTTCATCCTGCTCCCAGTGTCTTTTAGGGCATTCGACCTATCGGTGTGCGTGCTCAGTAGAAGTGACGCATTTTGTCCCCATGAATGTTAAGATCCGCCTTGTGCAGACGAAGCTGTTCAGATGGAGAGAGGGTCAGGATCATGCACAGAGCCTATGCAGAAGCCCACACATCCAGCTCCTCTCCAATGTCCTGGCTGTCACTTGGACAGCACTGCTGGTGGTGGCTTTCCCCACTAAAAACGAATGGAGAAATGTGATACTGTCTTTCCTGGACCAGTAATGGCATCCTACATAGAACAAAGCTAGAGAGAAAGGCAACTCGCCTTCCCTCCCATGCTACACAGTGGTGCGGCATCCTTAGCCATCAATGGGTTTTTCATCCATAGGTGAGACATAGTTCCAGGTCAGGTCAGCAGACCTTTTGTTGAGGGCCTGCTCCATGGAAGCACTTTTAATAATGATCCAGACACGAAGCCCAGTGTACTAAGCCAAAAGTGTACCCACTCGAATGTCCTCAGGTACCCACTCCATCGGAGCCAAACCTTGGGAGGGAGGGTCTAAAGCAGCAGAAGGAGTTTTGTCCAGCACATTTGCAGCTCAGCGTGAGCCCAGAAGATCTGCAGGAGGGAAGAACGGCCCTGGGCCACAGGCAAACAGTAGGTGCTGACCAGGAGACTTCTCTGGTATCATCTTGCATGCTGACTCTGGGGTCACGTGGTCTGGGTGTCTGTGGGGGCGAGTCCCCTACGTGTCAGGCTGCAGCAACCTCATGTCTTTTGCACTCAAAGCAGCATTGCTCAGGCCTGGTGTTCTAAGTTTAGTGCAGCAAATTTTAGGACAAACTCCAGCTCGAAACAAATTGCTGACTATTCAAGTCGAGAAGCTGGCTTCACTGGAACAAAAAAGGAAAACACTTCTAGATGGAGAAAAAAAAAGATGTTGGAGAACGCAGTGGGAGTAGGAGAAAAAAGAGACCTGTTGGAATGAGCCAAGACACACAGCTTAGGGAAAGAACACCTCCACCCAGCAGGAAACCCAGCTGCCAGCAACAGTGCAGAAAAGGAGAGCTAGAGGCCTCCTTGTTGTGTCACCTGAGCCACGCCCTTATCAAGTGGAGAGCAGGAATTCAGCCCTGGGTGTGTTCACACTCCTGCTGACAGCCTGTGATGGCCACACAGTGACTCTGTGTTCTGTAACTTCTATTTTTTTTAAAACACTCATTTATTAGGTGCCAGCAACATAAGAGCACATTGAAGAATAGCAGTTTTGCCCAGGTGTGTCTACACTGTTGGATTTGGATTTAGGACATGTCCAGATGGCCAAAGAACAGAAAGGAAATTCATGGTACAACAGAGGGCTCTCCTCGTGGCATAAACCCAGTCCTGTTTTGGTTTGGCTTGAATTTCCTGTCCGTTTCATAGTGTGGTGGGCCTTTCAGTGGGAATTCAATTCAGGAACCTCCTGTATGCACTGCATATCTTTGGATCCCACACCATGTGATGTGACCTCTCTTAAAGTTTCCTATTTCCTCACCTGTAAGGTGGAGATAATCTTCCTCCTTACCTGGTTATTCAGAGTAGGAAATACTTAGCACAATGTGAGACATCAACCATTTTCTTCCCAAGATATCATAATATTTCCATCCCACATTGTGGCTCAGGACATGTGATTTTTAAATAATATTTGTTTGGAGAATAGCAAAAATTATGATTTTGATAGGCTTTATGGAATTTATTTTTTGACAGGCAGAGTGGACAGTGAGAAAGAGAGACAGAAAGAAAGGTCTTCCTTTGCTGTTGGTTCACACTCCAATGGTCGCCGCAGCCAGCGCACCACGCTGATCCAAAGGCAGGAGCCAGGTGCTTCTCCTGGTCTCCCATGGGGTGCAGGGCCCAAGCACTTGGGCCATCCTCCACTGCACTCCCTGGCCACAGCAGAGAGCTGGCCTGGAAGGGGGGCAACCAGGACAGGTGCTGGCGCCGCTAGGTGGAGGATTAGCCTACTGAGCCGCGGCGCCGGCTGGAATGTTTTAATAGAATGTTTTAATGACAGTCTCAATCCATTGTCTTATTTGAACCCAAAATATTTAATGTTGTTTTAATTTTTAACTGAATCAGTGTGATTTGTAGATGCAATTCTAAGAACATCATGGCATTCCCTTCACAGACACAGAATGAGCCCAAAAAGTGAGCAAGAAAGTCACAGGAATTTAAAAAAGGGATTTTCCTGGCCCTGAGACTTGGGGTATTTTTCCACATTGTTCTTGACGGGCACCTACACTACTAAATGTGGTCCTGTTCTACCCATCCTCCCCCGTCCTTCCTCCCTCATTCGTGGCCTGTGTCTGACCCATGCCGTCTATTTGTGGCTGCCTCACGTCTTACAGGATAAAGGACCAGAAATAGAAACAAAAGGACAGAGTGGTAGAGAGCACTAAGGTCAGGCTTAGGATCCTGACAGTGGAAGACGATAAGATCAAGGATGTAGCAGGGAGTTAGTCATAGGAAACAGGAGGAGGTAGGAGGCTCACTGCAGGAAGAGAGTGGAAGCTGTAGATCAAGGAGCACAAGTCGGGCAAAAGGTAAAGTTCTTGCAAGAGTTGTCCACCGGGAAAACAGAGTCTTGGAGACTTTTAAATTGGCACTATGTGATGTAAGAAGAGACACACAAAGGAATTGGAGACCAAGGAGAATGACTTTACTAGCGAAGGTTATGCGTTCTCCTCTGATGCAAATCACCCCTGGGGTGGTGTTGTTATTTTGTTTGGTTTGCATTTCAGTTGATTTTTGGTGACTTTAATGCTTACTACACTTCCCTGGTCTCAGACCTTTTTAAGATTTGCTTACAAACTCCATGGGGACACCTCCCCCTCCATTTCCCATATGGGACTGCCTGCCTGGGTTTGAGTCCCAGCTACTCCTCCTCTGATCCAGCCTCCTGATAAAGCACACCCTGGGAGGCAGCAGACAATGGGTCCCTGCCACCCACATGGGAGACCCAGGTTGAGTTCTGAATTGGCAGGCCCGATCCTAGCTTTTGCCAGCACCTGGGGAGTGAACCAGTGCTTGGAACACTCTCTTTCTCTGTATGTCTTTGCCTTTCTAACAAAATGAAAATAAAATTTTGTAAAAGATACTAACCCCCAACAGAATCTGCAGACTATAACACCTGTGGGCACAAATGTGTATCCTTTTTAAAATCTTCATCGTCTTAATCCTCTTTTGCTTGGAAGAATCCTTAGCTTCACTTCCACTTTTTAAGGCTGTGATTTTCTGAATGGGGGTTTTCACTAGGCAATGATTGCTATTGCTCTGTTATATACTAATGCATTGAATAAATTCGTGGAAACAGGGTTGACTTTCTTTCATGCTTAATTCTGAAACATTTAATATAAGTTTTGTTCCTGAGGACTACAGAGCTATAATTTGATTTCTGTTATTAATGAACTTATCAATAAAGTCAGTAAATGGAATTTATAAGCATAAGGTCTGGGAGATAATGGTCAGTCTCAAGAAGATCATCCCTGCTAGTTCTGTTCTCTCTTTCATACAAAATTGACACAGCCAGACGAATCCACTGAATAGACAATTAATCGGCAGACTGAAGTCACCATTAATCTGTTTTAAAGGAGACTGAACTGTAGTTACCCAGTGGCGAAATCAAAAGTAGAGTCCAATAACAGATTCAGTCATCTGTTTCAAAATACAAATAATCAGTCCAATTTGTGGCTTCACAAACACGATTTTTAATCTCCTGAAATCAAGAGATGGGCAAACTCAACCGCTGAGAGTAAATGATACATTTTGCTTTTTCCAGGTGGATCTTCTTGTCCCTACCAAAGTGACGGGCATCATTACACAAGGAGCTAAAGACTTTGGTCACGTACAGTTCGTTGGTTCCTACAAACTGGCTTACAGCAATGATGGGGAGCACTGGACCGTCTACCAGGATGACAAGCAAAGAAAAGATAAGGTGAGCTATCCGTGTGGGTGGTGAGGGGCACAGGTAAGGAATCCAGTTATATCCAAGTGTGAACAAAGGACTTGCTTATACATGCACATGAAAATACCTGCTGCATGTACTGGAAACGTACGTTACGTGAGAAACCGCAAAAGGACTGTAAAGCAGTTTGTGGTTATGTTGCTAAGGCTGAAGATAACTGATCAAGGAAAACACATTTCTGGCAACATTTTCTATATTATCTAAGATCTAGCAATGTAATGTTCTCCTAACATATTTCAACCTCAAAAGGAGCTTAACTACTGGATCATAATGCATTCAAAAATAGTTTTGCTAGAACACACACTGCTATTATTAAAATGAATTGCTGGTGTTAGGAAAAATGTTCTTTGGGAAAGAGTATTTCAAGGTGAACTAAATGATTTCTTTGAATATTTTGATAATTAGGAATTTTAGAGATAGATACATTGACTATTTTGATAATTTAATAATCATATTTCTCTGCTCAATTTTATTACTATGTTTTAGTTTATAGACTTGTGTAACTTTTCTTAAAAACATAGGTATCACACAGGTTCTAGCCATATTTCTAAAAAGTTCTTGCCATTTTCGTCCTGTCTCATTCTATCTGCTGGTTTTGATTTCTGGAGGACCCTAGAGGATCAAAGTGCTCAAGGGTAATAAATCAGAGGTTAAAATATGGCCTTAGTGAAACTAATGAAGTCAACTTAATTCATTGCTCAGGTCTTTGCACAAAGAACTCTCTCACTTTCTGAAGCACATAAACAGCAATCTATAGGTTAAGGATGTTGAAGAAAACATGACAAACTCATGCATGTTCTGTATTTCTGAGTTAACAGTTTCTTTTACATGTGTGTAACCTTATTATTGCCTTAATGCTATTGTATCGTTAGCTGGTAGAAAGGTTCACAGTATCTGTCTTCAGATGTTCAAGACAGAATTTATAAATGTCCCCAGAAAAACTAGGCCAGGCATGGGTATTTCAATGACATAGAGAATTCAGCTCACACGAAATTTACTTTAGAGGAGATGTGTTTTTAGGCTTAGATGTTCAAAAGCCACCCTTTTTCAAGTTCTGACATCTCAGAATGCATCCAGTTAACATCTCAAGACACACACAGGCTTCATATTGCAATATCTTGGAAATGGTTGCATCTTACAATGTCACAATTTAACTGGGAGAACTTAGTCTTTCCTAGGAGAACATAACACAGTGTCTTGCTTTATAATGCATGACATCTTAGAGTAAAAATATTGGGTGTTTTATAAAACTGTCTCTTGATTTATTCTGAGCTATTGACAAATGTCTGCTATAATTTATTGAAAGTAGCTATTTCAGTGCCTGTCCTTCCCCTATGCAATAGGCATTCTAATGCATAGAATGGTTCATAATAGGAAGCTTCCGAAACTTCAGATACAGCCAGGAAATGAATTTGAAGACAGATAGGTATTTTCTTCTGTTGCCTATGGGTAATATTTCCCGAAATTCACATTTATAATAGTGCAATCCTGTACTAGTTGTTTTAGAAAAAAACATAGTGGAAGATAGGATTAAGTTATTGAAGACCTTCTTTGTTTCCATCTATACGAAACACGTAAATGATTAAGTTTGAGAAGGTTTTTAATTTTCCCTTAATTGGTCAAGGAGACATGGCATATTAATGCATCTTATTTTCTACATTGGAAACATAATTAAAATGTCAATTGTGTCTCGAGTTGCTTGATGATATCATTTAGGTTTTCTGTATCCTTGCTGATCTTCCATCTACTGGAGCTATCAATTACAGAGAGGAATGTGGCAATCTTCAGCTGTAATTATGGACGCGTCCATTTCTCCTTGCCATTTTATCACTGTTTGCTTCATGTACTTTGACGCTCTTAAAAATATGCATAAATAGCTAACATTTTAATTTACTTTTGATCAAGTAGTTGTCACCATTAGAAAAGGAACACCTGCATTCCTGGTAATACTTTTAGCTCTGACATCTTTGAGATTCCCACAGGCGCCTCAGTTTTCATTCATGACGCCTTGGAATATGTATTTGCCCATCCATGTACTTTTATTTGTAATGCATGCTTGAAATGCATTCTTTTACACTCTATATAATTGAGCCTCCCTCACTCTGATCTGACCAGTCTGCTTTTTAACCGGGATGTTTTAACTGTTTGCTTTGATATGAGTATTGATGTAGTTGAATTTAAATCTATCATTGGGTTATTTACTTCCTCTTTGTCACTTCTCTTCTGTGTTTATCCTGTTTTCCACTTTCCATTGGATTGATTGACTTTTTGATGAGTACATTCTATCACCCTTGTTGATTTAGTAGCTGTAATGTTTTGTCATGTTAGTGATTGAGTTAGGATTTGCAGTATACATCTTAAACTTACAGATGGATGCAGAGCCCCAGAAACCCCCCTCTCTAAGCACAGCTTAAATAGATAATAGCTGTAAATCTGTGTCTTCAGGAACTGTATGTATGGTAACATGTGATTTGAACGTTACCAACATAAGTCTTACTGTAGAGAATGAAATAGGCTCCCACTGCAAAAGTTGGAAAATTGTGACAGAGAATTGACCCCTGGTGTTTACTGGAAAAAACAGTAGAAGCCAAAATGCTGAGGGGAGACACTGCAAAGTTTTTGAAAACTTAAACCATTTTAATTATGAGCATACTAAACTCAACCAATGTAATGGGTAGTTACAAACTTGAATCTAGCCAGCTTGCTGATTCTAGTGTAGTGAATTCAGTACAATACGGAACAGCATTGGACGAGGTTACTGTTCTTTATTGAAAGAGACACTGACACAAATCCACTGGAGAATGAAGCAGCCATTACTGTTATGGGAAAGAAATACTTTATGTAAAAGAAACTACGGGGCACTTTCCCTCCCTGCTCCTACAGGTAAGGGAATTTAACTAAAGGGAGAAATGTGTTACCCAAGTTCTTAATGCACTTGGAAACCCAGGCATTAGATGCAAATCTCTACACATATGCATACATCTGAAAAGGCAGGCTTTGTTGTTATCACTGCTATGACTAACTGTTCCCTTCTGGTTAGAAAAGCTCAGCCATCTCCTATTGGTTCTTGAATGGGTAGTGTCTTGTTTGCCATTCCATGAGGCAGGGGGATCTTCAAAATTTACAAGTGCATACTCAACCATGAGCTTTTATCCAAATAAATTTAATAAATGAATGCTTTATGGCAGACAAAGTTCTCTGAAGTGTTTTATAGATGGACATTTTGAACGGAAATCTTTATAAACAAAGATTTCTAATTACTTTTTTGTGCCTTCTGTTTTTATTGAACACATAATATAGTAGATTTTAGGGATATGCCTGGGGAGGTCTCTTGTAGACCTAGGTACAGAATTCAGAAAAACAACCTTGAACTAAAACCACCATTTCAGGACTTCTGCAAATTGTAGAAAGAGAATTCTGAACATATACAAGCATCTTTTCTGTTCATTAGTTTGGCATTCTTTTCTGAGGTTCAGTCAATTCCAAGAACAGTCGTGGGGGCATGCAGGAGAGTCTACATCCCTGGACGAGCATGGATTTGCGTGTGCATGCACCCCTTAGAAGTGCCACAGTACCCAGGTGACCTTGTGTATATGGGAGTGGGCATAGACACCACAATTCACTGAAGAGAACAGGGGCCCATGTTCTCTTGGTTGTCAATCTCCCCTTCCTCTTACGCATCCTCCACAATGTTACTCCAGTAACTTTTGTAATAGACCCATTGATGAGTCTCATGATGAAGCATGACATTCCTTTTAATACTGTACTGGCATTTATATTTCACTACAGCATGCACTCGGAAAGAATTTTTATTTGGAAGTCAAATGTTCCTTTGCTGACGTCAAAGTGACATTTGTTTTATGCTCCTGGAGATGCTTTTTACTGCAGTTAGCAGGAAACTTGGGGAATTCAGACATTTTTGGTATTTTATTTTTCAGGTTATAAGCCAAAGTAAAACAATAATAAACTTTAGAAAGAGTATGTATATGGAAAAATTAGAGATGAAAATGGGCTTTTCATCCAATATATTAATCACAATGTTATGGTGTTTGAGTAAACTTGAATTGGTACCACGGGAGCTTTCTTGTTTTGAAAAACAAATAAGTAAATAAATAATAATAAAACAAAGCTAGATAACTGTAGTTAAACAATGTCCTCTGTAAGGGCCTCTGTTTAAAAAAAAAAAAAAAAGTTACATTAAATAGCTCTGCCCAGAAGTGAACAGGGGGAGATTCCAAGACCCCATTTTATTTGTTTATTTGAAAGGCAGAGAGAGATTAACCGAGCATGCCCCATTTGGCCATCAGCAGCCAGAACCAGGAACCAGATACTCAGTAATCCAGGTCTCCCACAAGAGTGGCAGGGCCCAAGTACTTCAGCCATTATCTGCCACCTCCCAGGGTGTGCAGCAACAGGAGATGCATGGGAAATGGTATACCCACACTCCACCCCAGTAACTGCAATATGGGATGCAGGTGTCCTAAGCGGTAACTTGGCCCTTGCACCTAATATCTGCCATCCATGAGCCCATGTTTTAAAGCAATAAGTAATATGGCAGTCATGACTTTTTTCAAATGAAGTACAGTCTTAGGGATACAGCTCCATTTTGGAGCCTCGAGCAGTCCAAGATCAAGACAGAAGCTGACAGAGAGGCTGGGGGAGGTAGTCTGCGCCTCTTGACAGTGCCCTCGTGTGCTTGAGAGGGAAGTGGACCAGCTCTCCAGCTCTCGTCTAACAAGCACTGATCCCACTCATGAGGACTCTGCCCTCCCTTGCTAACCCCATCGTAATCCTACCACCTTGGGATTAGGGTGTCAACATGTGATTTTTGGAGGGACACTGACATTCAGTCCCTTGCACTATATTCCTACATACGAAGTGCCAAGCAATCTCAGAATTCCTTATGTAACTTCTATAATTTCTGCCCTTGCCCAAAATAGAATGGAATGCCTTGTAAACTAAGTCCTCTG